GTCCCTGCATTGGCTGCCTGTTCAGCACAGAATTGAGTTTAAAATTCTTCTATTTGTCTACAAATCATTGAACAATTTAGCTCCGCCTTATCTTACAAACCTACTTCATCCCTACATCCCCACAAGACGATTACGATCCGAGGAAAAACTTCATCTCCTGATCCCTCGCACTCGTCTAAAGACGAGAGGAAATAGAGCGTTTGAAGTGGCTGGTCCTACTCTCTGGAACAACTTACCATCTCATATTAGAATGGCCTCCACTCTACCTGTGTTTAAATCTTGTCTAAAAACTCATCTTTTTACTTTGGCGTTTATTAATTGATTTCGTTATAGTCATGTTATGTGTATTTGACATTATGCTATTAATATTTTACTTATTGTATTTGTACAGAGTGTACAGCACTTTGGTCGGCTTTTAGCTGGTTTTAAATGTGCTTTAGAAATAAACTTGAACTTGAACTTGAACAGACTGATAGACAGACAGACAGACAGACAGATGATAGACAGACAGACAGACAGATAGATTGTCTGTTCTCTGCTGGATTTCTGAGCGAATCTTTTAATTGGATCCTGGAATGTTTCATTCGCTCTCACTGCTGGATCTTATAATCGGATGCTTTCCATTCAGTCTCCATTCTCAAGCTTAATGGAGAAGCGTCTGGAGCCTCACATACATGAAACGGTTTGAGCAGAATCAATTAAATCCTAACTGCAGGGGAAACATGAGCTGCTGCATCTGTCTCCGAATACCTGCTGCAGCGCTGCAATGAGGACTGAAGATCCAGAGAGAGTCAGATCTCCTCCGAGGAAGCAAAAGCCCTGGAGCGTCAGTGTTTGTGTGCGTTTGAGAGTGTTTCCACACTGTTATGATGTCTGCAATCGATGAACAATACAGCCACCGATGGGAACACACACACACACAAACCAAGCGCTTTATTCACTTTCTGATTTCCCACCGAGAGGCCATCAGACTCCAGACTCACACCAGATACAGCTTCACGTCTCCACTGTCTCGGCCTCTGGCTACAGACAGCACAACACAACCCACCAGATTCCCTCTTCTGATTCCACATCTCCACTGCCCTCATTCACATGCGAAACATCATATGAACTAGTCCTCTAACCAGCACAACCTGCTACTTACACTCTGAAAAATAACCGGCATTGATGGTGCCATGAAGAACGTCTCAGGTTACTTGTGTAACCATGGTTCCCTGAGTCTTCAGACACGGGTCACGACGAGGCGTTCCCCATAGCGACCCCTAGAGGACGCAGTTCGAAGTTCCCATGAAAGGGAACCTTAAACATCCATGAATCTTTCCACTGCACAAAAGAGTCTTTATAGTGGAAAAATGTTCTTTAGATTCTTAAAATGTACTTAAAACTATGAAAAAATGGTTCTTTTAAGAACTGATCATTGGTTCTTTAGAAAACTAGAAATGGTTCTTCTGTGGCATCACAGGAGACAAAAAAAAAACCTTTGAAACCTTTATTTTTAAGAGTCTAGAAGCTTTCAGATGCACAAAAGTTTCCTTAAAACGAAAAAAGGTTCTTCATATTATTAGAATGTTCTTTTCTTAAGATCTGCTAATTGAAAGGTTCTTTGAGGATCCAAAAATAGTTTTTTCTTACAAAGGGGCAGAAATCAAACTTAATTGAGGGCTGTGGACCAAATGTAAATTTTGTTTTATATTCAATTATATTATATTAAAATATATTAATAATAATTAAAAAATCTTGAAATAATTCAACAAAATGTGAAATAAAATGATTTTTAAATTATATTTTTTACATGATTGAACAAAAAAATATATTTTAATCAACTTCACTTAAATTTACTTTTAAATTATATTTTTACATTATTTCAAAAATAACATTAAAAAAATTAAGTCAAATTCACTTATATTGTTTTTTACAAACAAACAAATGTTAACACAGAAATATCACTTAGTATTAGTGCCTTTTTCCCCCCATTCTTGCGGCCAAACCAAAGTTCATCAGGGGCCAGCTAGTTTGGGCATCTCTGTCCTCTTTTTATTATTTCTTTATTTTTAAGAGTGCACTGGTTTACTGAACGAAAGCAGACGCTACTATAAAGCTGAATGTTTCCGTGACTGATGGAGGTTTACCTGTCATGGGCGTGTAGACCTTGGGCTCGATGGTGCCCATGGGTGGAGGCAGGAGTGGGTTGGTGAAGCTGCGCAGGGGATGCGTGGGCCGCACACAGGCGGTCGGGATGGTGCGGCTGGGAATCTCCTCCGACCCCGACGGCTCCGACTGTGCCGTGGGAATCAGAGGCTGTGGCTGCTGCAGGGCCATTGGAGCGGCGCCCTCCGCTGACATCGCTGGGAAAAACACACCAACAGAACGAAAACTGAGCTTTATGTAAATGAGAGCCAAAAGCACCAGACAGCAGCCAATCACATGAAGATGTGACATATTTCAAATTCAGATTCGTTGATGGTGTTTCAGTGAATCTCATATGATCATGTCCAGAGTTTTTTTTTACCTCATAGAAAATAATAAATTACATTTTGGGGCTTAAAAGACAATTAATGTTGCACTGCACTGACACTGTCAGATGAGAACAAAAATTTATCAGAATTGATCTGAATAATGACACTATTATCTTCTGTAGAGCTGCTTTACAGCTGAAATTGACATTGACATTGAATTATTTAATAATTTGGCAGACACTTTTATCCAAAGCGACTTGAATTTGTTTCATAATTGATGAATTGCAACATAAACAGTTATTTTCCTGATTATTACTGTGAAGCTGCTTTGAAAAAAATGTGCATTGCATAAAGTGCTATAGAAATAAAAAAACAAATTAGAAAATTTAACTAAAAATGTGACCTTTTTCATTTTGTTTTAATTAAGCACATTCTCATTGCTGTTATTCAAAAATATTCTCAAGAATGTAATGCATATGGATTTATTGTCTTTTCATGGAGCTAAAGCAGGTCTCATGAGACTCATTCCATTCCATTTCACTATAATTCATTCAGATGCAGTTTGCATGCTGATACTGAGAGCTCATGAAAGTCTATTAAAAGTATGAGTGTTTTGGTCATTTGAAAACTATGCTTGGATTTTTCCATTAGTAATCATGCATATATATGATGAGCGTGGATTAACTGGACTCACTGTGGTCCAGAGCTGTTTAATTTCAATGATGCAAAGAGACTCGCAGCTGCTGCCAAAGGACCAAAACTAATCAATTTCTTCTGCTGCTAACAAACTCATTTAAAGCGGAGACAGCAGGATGAGCCTGGTTTATTCAGGGCCAACACATCTCTAAATGACATTAAATAAAACAGCTGCTTGTGTTGGTCTGTTGTGATTGGTCATCCAGTGATGATGTAGTGACAGCTGACATTACTCTCAAATACTACTACACATTAAAACAACGATTTTTTGAAGTTATAAATAAAAGATTTTTGGAACTTGTTTTACAGGAAAATAATATTTCAGTCTTTTTACTTGAAAATTTCACATTTATTCAATGTTTTACTTGCTAGATAGATATAACTAACAATATCACAAACGAACGATAGGTAGATATAACAAACACATATAATGAATGGTAGATAGATATAATGAACAATAAAATGAATGATAGACAGATACAATGAATGATATAACGAACAAAATATAGATATAACGTATTATATAACTAAACATAGATATAACAATCAATATAATGAACGGTAGATATATAGATATATTGTACAACATAATGAACAATAGATAGATATAATGAAGAATATAACAACTGATATAACAATAGACAGATAGACAGGTAGACGGACGGACGGACGGACGGACGGACGGACGGACGGACGGACGGACGGACGGACGGACGGACGGACGGACGGACGGACGGACGGACGGACGGACGGACGGACGGACGGACGGACGGACGGAC